CCCGCCGCGGCATTCGCACCCACACCACCCATCGCGACATCGCCATCAAGGTCGCTATCACGATCGACGTCAAGACTGAGATCCTCGTCCGCGCTTTCTCCCGCAGATAGGCCCTTGCCACCCTTTTCGTTCCGCTCCAACGCCGCACCTGCCGCTGCCACGCGAGCCAGTCGCTCCTTGTGCGCGGCCAGTCGGGGATGCAAGGCTGCGAACCCGTATTGCTCTTCCGCCATACGGGCAAAGTTGATGATCTGATTGCCGTCTCGCTGCAGGGGAATGTGTAGAATAATGTTGGGCGAGGCGCGAGACGAACCGGAGGGGCGAGTGTCATCGGTTCCAAATAGAGCGTTGGAGATCAACCCGGAGCCTTGGGGTAATGGAGGCGGCGCTTCCTTGACAGGGCGCGAGGGCTTTGGCGATGCCGCATTGGAGGAAGGGGCGGTGGTAGTGGTGGCGGTTGTTCCTTTTTCCTTCTTGGGCGCCTTGGCTTCTGCAGTGGGTTGAGCAGGTTCATCCATATCCACATCCATCGCGGCTGGTCCTTCTGGAGGAGAGCCGGGTTTTGCGAGGGGTTGCTTCTTAGGCAGAACCGGTGGCTCTGGCTCCTGCTTCGGAGACGATTTCTGCGGTGCCTGACTGGATGAGGCGGGCTCTGGAGCTGCTGCGACGGGCGTGTGTTCGTTACGCGGAGAACGTGGGGGCTGCGGTTGTGGTAGTTGTTGCTGAGGCGGATAGGGAGAGCGATGTGAATACGGCGGCGACGATTGTTGTGGCTGCGAGGCTAGTGACAGTGGATGCTGAGGAGCTAGAATAGACCCATGGGAGGGGGAGGCCGCCGGCAAAGGGGAGGGTGCCAGTGATGGATGGACTGATGGTGGAGCATTGGGGTGTATTCCGGGGGAGGAGAGCGTCGACGGAACATGGCTTGGTGAGGGCCGTGGAATTGGCGAGTAGATGTGTTGCGTTGTAGTCGGCTGGGGTGGATCGATGATACTGGAGATGGCCGGCGAGGCACTTGCGCGGAACGTGTTGCGCGGGGAATGATTCTGCGCAGGTGGACTGGTCGTCGCGGGAGCGGGAGCCGGAGTAGCTGTATCAAAGGCCGAACGTATGGGATCATAGTTCTGACCGCTCCTCCTCTGAGGGGGGGGAGCAGGGGGAGGCGGTTGGGATTGAGGCCGTGGAGGAGGAAGAGAATGATGGTTCATCGCATAAGCAGGGGACGGCGCATGAGTCGGGGTGTGAGTCGGAGTCGAATTGGAGTAGGGAGGAAGAGAGGACGAGGGATTGAGCTGGGGGAGATGCTGGTGCTGGTGCTGTTGCTCATGCTGAGAAGGTTGGTGGAGGTGTAATGCGGATGAGGCTGTGAGGTGCGGAGAGCGGCCAGTTGACGTTGACGTCGACGCGGGCGCAGGAGCAGGAGCAGGAGCAGAAGCAGACAGGGTCGTGATGGAGCTCACGGAAATACTCGTGGGGATCTCGTCGTGAGGAGTGGGCTCCAGCTTTGGTTTCTTGCGCGAGTTATTCGATGAATTCTGGTCATGGGGAGCCGTTGTACTCGGGTCGTTGTTATTATTACTGGTGTTGCTCTTGCTGCTGGCGGTAGTGGTATTATTGTTACTGGGATTGGTGGATGTGGACTTTTCTCGTTGGCGACGACTTCCCCGGGGTTTGGGTTTTTCCTTGGTGTCCTTTGCGCCATCCTTTGAACTGTTGTTATCCTTTTGGGATTTTGGCCTGGTGAGATCTTTCTGACTGGCATCGGCGTCGTCGTCCTTCTTGCGACGCGACCGTCGAGTGGTGGCGGAGGCCCGTCGGGGTCGGGCGTTGGAGTCGATGGATGACAGCGACTCGTCCTCTTTGCCAGGCCAGCCATTTTCCGGCGGATCGGCAGACATGATTGAAGAAAGGGTAAAGAAAAAAAAAAAAAAGAAAGGAAGAAATTCAAGAACTAGTCCCTGACGATGGTGATGATGAGTTTTGCATGTGTAAAAAGAAGACCTGGGGGGAATATTTGGGGATGTTGATATCGGGTGGTTGTCGCGTCAAGGTTGGCCTGAAAATTGTGCAGTTTGGGTAGGAGAGAACAAAAGTGGAGGACTTCGTTTGGAGATGGTCAAATAGCACAGAATAGTTTATCGGGAGGAGGAACCGAGGAAAAACGAGAGAGACGGGTAGTAGTATGGAGTAAAGGCGATTGATGGGGATGACGACGGGGATAGAGGGAGAGGGAAAGGGAGATATTAAAGGGGGGAAAGAGACAAGAGAAGAAAGAGAAAGAAGAGAGGAAAGAGATATCTACTCTGGATGGTCTATATCAGACGGATCTTAAGCTAAGCGAACCATCATACGGTAGGATGAGGACAGAAGGAAGAGAAGAAAGGGGGAAAGGGAGGAGAAAGGAAGAAGGAAAATGGAAAGACAGCGTCATCAGAGAGAAAGAGCAAAGAGAGAAAGGAAGCTCTTATTGATCTGATATGATTTGATCATACGCACGGAGTCTCCTTAGGACAGGTACTTTGGCTTGATATCAACTTGCCGGATAGAGATATACGCAGGAAGGAGTCATGGATTATCTCTCTTCTTATCCTTCTAGCCAGACAGCATTATGAACTAGTCTACGCCTTGATTCTATATCAAATCATTAAGCACCTGTTGCTCAATTCCAGAGGGAGTTGTGATACTTACCTAGTCATGTCAGTCAGTCACTTTGATGTTCATCTAATAATACTCCTCCATATGGAGAATTGGAGATACAGGGTAACACTCTGTAATGGATTTTCCAGACAGACACCCGGTATATCATGCCCAATTGCTAATAGTCGACACCTTATACTCTGCTGAATCACTATACAGGCCAATGGAATCTTTGCTGTCATCCATTACGAATGTGATTTCTGGTACTCGGACAGTTCCCACGCAAAGATATGACGATAATACCGGAGATTTGGCCTTAGAGGGAGCCAGAACAAGACACTATTAATAGCCATCTTTATTTAATAAGAGCCCAACATACGATACGGAGTATATACTTGTCCAACTGGCCCAAGTAAGGAGGGAATGGGATAGAGTGCAGTGAGGTGAGGTACCTGCCTGAATCGGCAAGTACCTTTGATGCACGGAGTATACATTCAGACTAGCCTACTTGGGAAAGGCGTGGACACGCACCACCATTCCTTATCGAGACTAGTGCCCTCTGCGTTCCAATTTAGGCTTTTGAGCCGCATCAGATGATTTCATTATTTTATTATTTATTCTTTATCCCCCGCCAACTTTCACTGAATAGCCTCATCCCAGACAACTCCAGAACTCTTAATACATCATGCCATTTCGAGGCCAGCGCTTCACTCTCAACCTCGATGACGATCAAGACCTCAACCTCGATTCTTCACAACCTCCCCTCGACTCCTCCCCTTTCGGTCTGATAGGCGAGATCCGCGAGCGCTCCCCCTCCACTGCCGTCCCCCCAGCTCCTAAACCCCCCACCGGATCAACAGGCTTCCCTCAACATCGACGGCGTGTCAATCAGTCTGCTTTCAAGCAGCGCAGGGCAAACAAGCAACAAGAACCGTCACCGCCGCCTGCCTCGACCCCTGCTGCCTCCCTTTCCGATGAGAAGAAAAGCATCGATGAAGAGAACCGTCGGCAACTGGCATCCATGTCACCGGCCCAGATTCAACAGGAGCGGGAGGAGCTGATGTCTTCATTGAATCCGTCCCTGCTCGAGAGATTCCTCCGTCGCGCGCGGATCGACGATGACACCACCACATCCGAGAAGAGCTCGTCACAACCAGAACCAGCACCCTCGTCATCATCATCAGCTTCTACAGCGAAACCCAAGAAGTCAGTCTCGTTCGATGTTGAAGAAGATTCCAAGACAGCAACAGAGAAGCAAGAGCCATCGCAGCTCAAGAGAACTCCCCCCGCAGTAACTTCTTCCGTTCTCACGCCAGAAGACCTTCCTCCAGCTCAACCCCCAGCCGACCTCCATCCAGCGTCTGAAGTCCCCATTCATGAGGCCTTTCATTTTCCTACACCTCCTCGACAAGACAAGCCGCCAAATCTCGATCCTTCGTCTCCTTCTTTCCTGTCTGACCTCCAAGCCCATTATTTCCCCGAAATGTCTCATGATCCATCCGCGCTCTCCTGGCTGCAGCCGCCCTCATCCGACACGGAAGATCCAGACTCGACATCCGCCTACCACCCTGCAAGTAGTGCAGAGGCCGTTCATCCCTCCGCTCTCCGATTCTCCCTCATTGGCAATGTCCTCTCCCCCGCCACGTCGCTCTCGCTCCCCACCACTCTCGGTCTGCATCACCACGGCAAGGATCCGCATGCTGCCGGCTACACCATTCCCGAACTCGCCATCCTCAGTCGTTCGACTTTCCCCGCCCAACGTTGCATCGCCTGGCAAGTTCTCGGCCGTATCCTGTTCCGCCTGGGCAAGGGTCAGTTCGGGGAACGCGGCAGCCCCTTGGTCGAGGGCTTATGGTCCGTGATCGAGCGCAAGGGCGTAGTCGCCGGCATGCTGGCCGAAGCAGACGGCGCTCCGTCCGGCCCGACTCGTTCAGCTGCCGCGCCTCAGTCGACGGCCGCCGATGCGAACGACCCTTGTCCGTTACCAACGCAAGGTACAGCAGTGCCAAAGGGGGCCACTGGGATCGGTCGTCATGCCAGTGCCTCCGCTTGGGCCGTGGAGGGCGTTTGGCTCTGGCAGATGGGCGGAGGAGGAGATCGGGGGATCCTAAAGGAGAATACTATCCGATCGCAGTAGTCTATCGGCATTTCCCGCATTTGCCGGATCAAACCCTTCCATCTTGTATCATATATTATTATGCTACCACAATCACGATGACATGAACAATTGTAGTCACCATCTATCCCTCTATGCCATCCCACTAGAGTCATGAATCTCACGTAAATACATACTCATCGTAGTCATACGCTCAAATAAGATACGTAGTAACCGTTACAGTTCCACGTCCGTCTCGTCCGCACGCTCAGGATCCTCCCCCCATCTGCACCCCCCAAATCTTCCACCGGGTTTCTTCCAAAAAGTCCCGCCGCAGCCATAACCCCTTGGACGATGCAGCCTCGCCGTCGCCGTTCGCCTCCGTCTCCTCCCCCGCTCGGACATGGTCAAGCCAGCTGTACAACAGCCGCAGCTGCCAGAGGCGATCGCGGACCTCGTCGGCGTCCGCGCCCCGCCCGCCAGCCGCGCGGAGCACATGCTGCACGCTGCTCTCGATCACCAATTTGCTGTCCACGGCCGAGACGCGCAGCCACGGCGCATCCCCCGGCCCACCACTCGCCCCTATGCTCCGAACGCGTGCGGGGAACGAGGCGGGCAGCACCAGCGATCTCTCGTGGATGTCGAGCCCTCGCAGGGAGTCGAGGTTGAAGATCCAGTCCCACATGCTCTGTGACGGCGCCGCGCGATGGACGAGCTTGGAGCCCGACGCGAGCAGCGCGACGGCCTTGGGCGGCGCCGCGGGGAGGAGTCGCCGGCCCGGGTTGGCAGTGGCCGCGGATGACGGGAGCACGTCTTGCGCCTCGCTGAGGCCGGACAGCGTCGCCACGAACACGGAGGATCCGGTGGGGTAGTACGTCGCCTTGCGCCGCAGATAGACGGACTGGTCCCCGTGCCGGAACTTGTCGTACAGCCGCTTGTTCTGCGTGAAGTCCAGGACAAGGGGCCAGTAGTCGGCGCTGCGGATTTCCACTTTCGCGATGCTTTCCAGGTCTGGCAGGAGACAGGGCGCGGTCACGGTCTGTCTCTGCCCGCTTGTACTCGTTACGGTGATCGGGAGATGGACCGGGCGGCGAGAATCGATGTCCCGGGGCACAAGACAGCGCGGCTCGGCAGCCAGAACCCACAAGTGCCGGAACGCCTGGAGGTGGCATTTGTTGTCTAGCACCGTCGTCGGGAAGATGGGATACAGTGAGCAGATCAGCGAGGCGATCGCCAGGTCGGAGGTGCCAACCGTATAACTGCCTCCGCCCAGGAAGAGCAGCCCGATGGCCATGTGCGCGGCCATGTGACTTCCATACGGCGTGTCTGCATCCACGCGGCCGTGCAGCGATCGCAATCGTCGAAACAGTGCTATGTCTCCCGTTCCGGCCATTACAGTCGCCGCGGAGAGTGCAACGATGTCCTGACAGTTTCGGACCGAATTCCTGGTGAGTCGCCCGTCATAATTCACCGCTGGGAGTCTGCAAATTCGGATGAATTGGTCCAGGTAGGAGATAAGCAGGTCACGAACAGCTGGCTGGGCAGAGCCCGCAAAGCGCAGACCAAGAGCGAAGCAGAGCCCAGCAATAATGTTGAAGAAGGGCATGTCCTCACTCTTCAGTCGGCTGACGCCTGTGAGCCGATATCGACGTCGATAAATTTTAGGGAGACTCTCGATAATCCAATCATAGCTGGGCCGTATGCTATCCCACATGATAACATGTCGAGCCAGCGTTCGTAGGAGGAAGAGGTCCGGTCGTACATAGTCAAAACGGACAGTGGTATCGGGGATGTCAATCTTTCGCGCCAGAACCTCATCGTTTGTCTTCATGAAAATGATCGTAAGGGCAACGGTAGCACCAGCGGTGGCTCGATCGAGCACATGAGCCAAGTGAACAGTCTTCGTGCCTACCGCGATGGCCAAGAGCCTTTCCACAATATGCATATCCCGCATGCCTCTCAGGTCTTTGCCTCTGCCCAGGTTGATGAAGCCAAGGGCGAACCCGGCCGCCAGCCGGTAGCCTTCATCACGCAGATCCTCATGCGACGGCGAGCTCTCCTCTTGTTCCGCGTTTTCGATTTCAGACAACATCACCTCGCTCATCCTTCGATGCTGAGAGTTACAGTAGAGCAGGCCGATTCCCATGATGCCAGCGGTCTGCGTAAGCGGTGATAGGTTGAGTTCGGCGGCCCCAAGGGGCAGCATTCGTGTAACGTGTACCGACAGCAACCGTGTAATAAGGGTGTCCATTGTGCCCAAATAAGACGCCGAGAGCCCGAGTAAGAGACCGATCGATGTCATGGTGTGCTTAGGGGTCAAATACTTGAAAGCTACCCACTTGGCCAGCGATTTGAGGTGTCCATTGAGACCCAAGGCCAGCAAGAAGCCCGCATGTCGGTTGGTCAGCTCCTGTGGCTTATTGAAAAGGATCCATGACGTGTCGATCCCCTTTGACTTCTTGGAGATAGCGAGCCCAGTGGAGACGCCGTTGTGAAAAAAGGCCCAGCACACCTTTTCCTCGCTGAAGGATGCTCTTTCGGCGCTGACTGTCACGTTTGACGGCTTCATAACGCACTGCAGCGAAAATGACGGAATTGGAAGCTTCTCTGTCAATAGAGGCAAGCGGCCGCTGAAAGCAAGCATGGCTCGGCCGGCAGGGATCGACAAGGTCCGAAGGGTGACGAGTTGCACCACCTCCTTCTGCGCCTCAAGTAAGTCTGAATCGGTCCAGTCGGGCTCTGGAATGCACTCTGCCACGGGAGCTTTGGATTGGTTGAGCAGTTTGGCCGCTTCTATGAAGCGTTTGTCGTCTCTGAAAATCAACCGTGTTATAGAGAACCGATCTGCCTCTGCGGAAGCCTCAAAGGAGTTGATTGTGTCAATTTCGAGGGCCGAGGCACCGATGTGATGGAAGTCGCGCACTGCATCATGCGATAGGGCGGATTGAGGAGGTACCGAAGGTGGACATGGTGTATCCGTATTCATGGACATGCTCAGATCCTCTCGATCGACAAGTTCCAAAAGATTCGCATTCCAGGACGCCGAGGCCTGGGTCTGTGTACGCATGATCGCTTCATACAGCGGCGTACTGACGCCTTCTGGGAAGGTCTCGACGACGTTCCTGGTAAGCCCCCAACGGTGAAGGAGCTTGACCTTGTCAAACGAGGACGAGATGTCGTGTATTTCGGAGAGGAGCCCATTCAGAGCCAGTGTCCTCGGAGTGAGCCTAAAACATTCCTGCCATAATTTCCCATTGCGTGGAGTGCTCTCCGATGTGCTGACGAGGTCGAGAAGTGTTAAGAACGGCGAGGAGCGCTGCCCCCATGCAGTCTCCAGGTGAGCGAAGATCGAAGGAGGCGCAAAGGGCTCTGGAGGAATATCCATCATCGAGATGCGAGAAGCTTCAAACTGCCACCGTTCCATACTCGCCATCTCAGAGCCGTAGTACGCGTCGTCTGCCCATGTCCAGGACGTCCATCCGAGCCAGCCGCCGATTTGGGCCAGAACGGGCGCAAGGAGACCCAAAGGTTTACGTTCATGCTCGGCATCACAGATTGAAAGCTTCTGTTCCTCCCGAAACAGGTGTAAGCCTACTACAATCGTACACAGGGCGGTCCGCCGGAGAGTATCATTGCAGGAGAGCGCAATAGGAAGATGACCGTTTGGTCCGATCGTCGTGTTACCCCGAGGAGTTCGCAGAAATTCTCGGGCCAGAGCTATGCATCGGACCAAATACGTGTTTGTTCGAAAGGTTGATCCCTTAGAAACCTGCTGGTCACTCTTTCGAGCGTTCCTTGCCTGAGACTTGACAGCATCTTGTTCTGCATCTTGCTCGAGGATCCATCCCCAAGAACTGCTGGCCATCCAAGGCGCTACAACGCCAGAAGAGCTTGATTCCTTGTCCAACATCGATTCCCAGCTCTCAAGGTCGACATAGCTTCCACTGCTGGACCTAAGGAGACCCTTCTTTCTCCGTGCTTGTTTGACGGCAGTTTGATCACTGTCAATAAACTGCAATGCCATTGCGAACAACACGATTGTCATTGCAGTCCATTCGAGGTCAGTCTCGCCAGTGTCTCTCGCGCGAAGCCACTTGACGGTTTCCCACCAACCAGCCAATATACCATCGCCAGCTTTCTCAAAGTCACGCAAAACAAATTTACAGATTCGAATGACGTTCTTAACAAGCTCATTGCTAGGCTCCATCTGTATCTGTAGCTTGTGCCGTCTATTCGTGGCGTCGATCACGTCGAATTTTCCTCGAACAGACGGATGGTCAAGACCAGATATTGATACCGGGCCATCAGTCATTATACGATTCATACCACTTTCTCGTGGGCGATTAGAGGATGCGCTGGAGGACACGCCATATCTCTCATATAGCATTAGATTGTGGGGAATGTCGACTCTGATAGGGTTGCTCCATGGACTTTGCAGGTACAATTCGTTTTGATCGGCGTGTGCTGCTCCAAGTGTCAAGATGCGTGAAGTCTGACCATCAACAACTCTGCAGGCGTCTCGAATATCAGTGAAGTGATGTATGCCCGTCGCCTGGACGAGCAAAGAACGCTCCTCAGAAGAGGCCTCCTTTCGCAGTTTCTTGGCAGTCACTGCATCTTTCTTCGGCAGTGCTACCCTGTCAGCGCGTAGATTCACAACAGTCATCGATTTTGCGTCCTGGTCCAAAAGGTAAACAGCCAGAGCAGCCGAATTTCCGTTCTGCGTGATTCCACATTCCGAGGGAGACAGAGTGATGATTTTCACTCTTCGGGAAGGCGACCTGACAGGAGTCTGGAATGTACCAGAAAACCTGGTCGAGAAGCTTTCTACTTTCGAAAGCAAAACCTCTTCCGGCAGCCCAGACGTCGTCTCCTTGAGTTCCATATTGCCAAACCCTTCAAATAGACTATCGTCGTTCAGTTCTTCGAGTAGACGGTCAACCGGTGCATCGACGAAACTGCTTGCGGTGCTGTATACGGAGCCGGTTCCCGGTGGCAGCGAACCACGCGGATTAAATCCAAAACTCCCACGAGTGCTGGTACCGCCAATGGATTGACGCAAACCTCCATGAGGCACGGTGCCTGTTTGACTCCCTGTAGCGAGATCCGAGAATGCTATTCTATCCTGACTGGTCGCAAGATCAGCGCGAGCGAGCATGGAACTCACTCGCCGTGATGTCTTAGACGGTACACCGAGATCGCCGAAGTCCTGGCCCAACCTTGATGCGAGGTCATCATCATCCGGCCTGCTGTCGACGGAGTACTGGGAGTGGGAGAAGCCCGACACGTTCCAGTTGTCGCCTCGGGGACCGAAGCTTTCCCTGGCCGCGGACGGGCGTGCAGCAGGCGTGGTCGCTCCTGTCGCCATGCTGAAATGCGAACTACGACGTTTGGATCGCGTGCCCCCTGTGTCTCGCCTCCGTTGTTTCTTCAAGGAAGGACCAGTCTCGTCTTCTCTATATCGTGCCGTCCAGAGAGTGTACAGCCCAGTATTCATGTTGACGGTTACCACGAGGATCAACGGATTCTTACTCAGAGTCCGGCTAGATCCCAATAGTTCATTATTTGGAGAAACGTATACGATTTCATCGGCAGGATCAAGGACATCCAGGCCAGAGGGTTTGCCGTTGATACTACTCTGTAACCAACGTGAGGACTGTTTGGTCACAACCAGGCCCATTTCAGAGTGCGGGTCCATGAGAGAGAACACCCGGGGTAGATTCGCATTCTTAGTAGCTCGGGAGTTCAAAGCAGTGTTCTGAGCAGGAGAAATGGTCAATGATGGTCGTTGGGCTTGGCCAGAGGGCCGATCCAGGGATTGAGAAGCGCGGAAGTCGGTGGTAGGAAATGATGAGATGAATGAATTTGGAGGCGCCATAGGGTAAATACTAGTATCTTCCTCTTGTATTTTCCTCTGAAAGAGAAGACCTCGAGGGGTTGCAAACACCGAATCAACCTCGAAAGGCAGGGGAATGACATGGCTATTGCCGTTTAGAAAGAAGATGTGGGCCTGTGATTTGAGTACCACAACCAAGGCTCTTGAGCTATCCCCAGTCTCAACAGCCTGCGATCCTTGAACAGGTCGATCGTGCAGACTCGGCAACGTCCCCGGGAAATGCTGTGATGGTTGGCTCTGCGGACCACGACTCTGGCCAGGCTCGCTGCCTGAGTTACCATTGAAGCCCTGCGCCTGTATAGGTCGTCCATCTGACTCAGTGGCCTTCTCGACGGAGAATCTTGTGAAGAGAGCATGTTTGATCTCCTCTCGTTCGATATCCAACCGGAACACCCTCTTCACGACTCCCGCTCGAGACCAAACGACACAGCTTGTAGTCCAGACAAGTTCATCATCCACGGGCCCATCCGGACCTTCATCGACCGTTGTACGCCATTCGTATTGATTCTCTGATGGATCAGGAGGCAGGAGGTCCTCTGCGACAAGAAAAGGTAAGGCCGATGGTTCGTGGAGGCCTAAGGAACGAACGGAGGCCATTATCGACGCGGAATTGCGAGTATGTCAAAATTTCTCTGGCAAGAGGAGCCAGGATTGAGATCATATCCATTGTCAATCCATGCAGGCTCTTAGGGATTGGCGGACTGTGCTGTTGAGTCGCAAGAGGAACTATCTAGTTCTTACTTGAATGGTTGACGCGCGACGCGGCAGAATCAACTTTTGGTGATCATGAGTAGTATTATTATTTTCTTCTGCCGCAGAGACAAAACACAACACACCACCTCCCTCATCCTCATTCTTTCTTCTTCGCTTCTATCCTCCTGGCCTGGATTTTCGCCTTTTCTTCTCCTCTCTTCCCGATTAAGCTACTATCGTCGACCAAAATCGGGTAATTTATCTGACAAGCCAAAGCTACTGTGGCGAAACCAAACTTGCCTTTACCCTGTGGCAAGATGCCATCCTTCCCAACCAGACCTTTGGTCAAGCTGAGGGATGACGGGCTGCAACTGAGGTACTATGCTTGTGCTCCTTGATCTCCTAAGGGACGCTATTCTAACGCCAGTTGTTACGCTTCTAGTTATCAGCTCCCTCAGCGCGTTCATGCGGCGAAAGCTTATCCGATCCTCGCCCCCAATGGTTCATCCATCGTCGTATATGGCTATGAGAATGGTCTGAAAGTGATTTGGAGAGGTGGCAAACGCTTCTCTGCACTTAAGACATCCACTCAGAAAGCCGCCAAAACCGCCAGAGTGAACAGTAGCAATGACGATGCAGTCATGATCATCGATTCCGATGAGGAGAGCGCAGCAGAGATACCCAAGGAAGAAGGGCCTGTCTACGACTTCGAAAAAGACGAAACTGAGGTCGACTCAGCCTATCCATTCGAGGATATCCTCCGTCAGATTGACATACCTCTTGGCAGCAGAGTTCTTGAATTGGCAGTGCCTCGCATCCTCCCCGAGACAGCTCGATCGTCGCTTGACCCTTTTCCTCCGGCTCTCAAGAAGCTTATGGTGATTTCCGCTGTGTGTGATGATTATTCGACTCGGATTGTAACTCTACCCTTGATCCCTCCTCACCCAACACAGACAGAACTCGCCTCATGGCAAGTGCAAACTGTCTCCATATCCGGCGGAGTGTCTCATCAGGAAGTTCCAAGGGGAGTCAGTATCAGTTTTACTTGTCAGGAAATCGAATCAGATGAGGATGTCACTATGTCTCCAACCAAGTCGGATTTTCAAGACAGTGAGCGATGGGATCTTCTGGTGGCGACTCACTCCGCGGAAGCATCCGGTCTCCTCTTAATACATCGGATCCCCATTGTGGAGGAGAGAGGCGATGCTCAAATTATATATCGATTGTACGATGACGAGATTGTGTCTAAACGAGTATATCTGCCCGCGCCGGCGAAGAACATCTCATTCAATCCGTCGACTTTTCCAGCTCTTCGTCACTCAACCCTACTAGTCGCCTTCCACAGCGGGTGCGTGAAAGTCTACTCTTGCTTCTCCAGGAAGCCGGCAAAAGTGTCTAGAAGGACAACAGGGCCTCAGGGTGATTTTGAAAAGGCCGAAACTGAGGGAAAGTGGCTGATCAGTCTCTACCCTGGATTCGAACAATCGCCTTCGGGGCTGGCGCGGCGGAAGACCGTTATTGACGCGGAATGGGTGCTCGGCGGACGAGCCATTATGGTGCTGATGGCGGATGGCGAATGGGGTGTGTGGGATCTTGAGGGAGCCGGTCCAGGCAGTACTAAGGGGCCTCTCCAACGACAGTCCAGCATACAGGGTGTCTCTGGCGGTTCGCTGACCGCGTTTTCCGTGAGTGGTAGGATTGTGAGTCGGATGACAGGACGAAACAAGGCCGACAGCAACGAGTCCAGCGTTGAGCCTCGGCCGAAATTTGCGCCCATGACTCCTTCCACCAAGCGTGTGCGGGAAGATACTCTGTTGAAAGGCACCCTTGGCACATCCGCCCCGTCTTTGTGCGGAGAGATCTCGGTGTACCAGACGAGTTCACTGAGAGACACCCCGCCTGACGAGTCAGTATTGCTACGACATGGCAGTCAGAGCGCTGTGATCCCCAGTCTACTCTCCCTGTGGCGCAACGCCATCAAAGCCAGTGGCACTTTTGACGCATCAAACCGCTGCAGAGTTTCACCTATCCAGGACATCCACCTGATGGGAGAGAACTTTACTGGAATCGGTCATCTTCCTGCAGCTGCTCGCCGTTCTCGGGACACGGAGCGTCAGGACTTTGATATCCTCATCACATCAGAGCATCGCATCATCATCCTTGCGCCAAAGCTGACCGAACCCGAGGAGATCCCGGTCTCTCGGCAGTCAGTCAGCGAAGAAGCAACCACTGAGGCCGATCAGCTCATGCTCCGCAGGGGAGAGTTAGACGTGGATGGAATGGACCGACTTCTGAGTGGCATGGCCAGCGGCAACCGATCAATGCGAATGGGAAGTCCAATCAAACGAGCACGCATCTTCGCATGAAGCTTCGAATTTAACATGGAATTCCAAACAGAGATACCCACTACTTCCTACGCGAGAATAATCCCACTGATGATAAATGTAGTATTGCACCTTTGTTCTTTTTTCCTTCTTACTGAAAGGTCATCATGCCTTCCAAGTCGACACAATTCGCGCTGCAAGGTGGAGCGCAAGGCGAGGACCATGCCTTGAAATCCCGTCTTCGTGACGGGATAAGCTCTGTATCAGATGCGAGACATCAAGCCAAGGACCCCTATCCGACTCCAGTTCGCTGGACCCTGTTTTCCGATCTTTGACGACCATTATTCTATCGAGGACGTCTGTCGTCGCTTCCTCATCTGGATTGTCTGGTTCTTCCAGTCTGTCATTCCGCAGGCAATGATGCTGATCTGTCCTCCTTTACGGAGAAGATCGGATGGCGTTTGATCGGTTCTGATCAACTCGTTCGATCTTCGGACGAGTCTACATCAGCGTCAGTGTCGGCGGAAGGGCAGCTGGGCAGACTTGAAGGGTGAACGAAGACTAGGAAACGGGGGTTATTTCGGTTGGGACATTTCACCGTAGTATTCACTGGAAATGACTAGAGTACAATTTATTAGAAGTAGAAGTAAATGTTACTGAATTTCATTCTCATCTAAGTTCATCTAATCGAATCTATCAGTGTTCCTCAGGCAGTGTGGCTTGGCAAGCATTTGAGATGTCAGCGAGAATACTCTTTCAATGTACATTCCTTCCTCGCCATTTCCTGCATATAGCCGTTCCAAAGCGTAATACATATGAAGAAAGAAAGCCAAGTCACGGTCGACCTTATTTACAACTCAAACATGTGGAGAAAATATGGCGGAGATATTCAAGATATTCCCCCATAGACACAGCACGTCCAAGACACCAACCAAGGCACAAGTGACCGCCTCTAGCTCACATTGCATTCCGCTTCCTGAAAGAAAGACTATATAGTCCGCTTATCCGTTGTATCCCAGAGCCTCGAGCTCCTTGCGCACCGAGTCCTCAGTCTGGATCTTCTTCACCTGCGTATCCTCCAGCTTCTCCCCACCAGCAAGTCGCATTTTCAGCTCCTCGATCGCCCGGATCTTCTTCAGAAGTCCTCGAATCTTCTTATCCTGCGCGGTGGTGTTCGCGGCGGCGTCTGCAGCGGCGTCTGCAGCGGCGGCGGGGGCGGGGGCGGGGGCGGGTGCAGGCGTCTCGGCGGGTTTCGCTTTGGCCGACTGCGGTGCGCCGTTGGCCTGGTGGCCGTTGCGGCGGGCATTGCCGTCAACGTGACCGTTCTGGCCCTTGGAGCGGCTTCGCTCGTGGCCACGACGGTCGGGGCTCTGTCCGGACTGGCCGCCGTGCGCGGGGGGAGCCAGACCATCCTGCTGCTGCTTCTTGGCTTCACGCTTCTTCTTGTTCTTCGCCGCCGACCTGGAGAGCTTCTCCTGGTCGGCTCCGGGCGGCAGAGCCACCCCTCCTCCGGGAGCGGCTCCAGGAGGCAGGTATTCCTCGACCGGCTCTGCACCTGGCACCTCGCGTCTGCGGGGCTTGCCAAATCCGTTCAGCGCGCTGCCACCGCTAGCACCATCCCGGACGTAGGCCGCGCCGCCCTCGTCTTCGCGCTTGAACGCGAGGGGCGTGAGCTGGCCACGGGCGCCTGGGGGACGGTAGGCGCCGACCGGCTTCGCGGGCGCTTTCTTGGTGCTCAGGTAGGCCAGGGCGGACGGGTGAGGGGCGGGGAGAGTCTGGAAGGGGTCGCCCAGAGGGTGCTGGGTGGTCGACTGGGGCCTCCAGACGACTTCGTACAGCTCATTCATATCCTCGTTGTACATCAATCCACCGCTGACGTGCCAGATCCGGACGCCGTTATCCACTCGAAGACGCGGACTGGTGGTAGCCGTCAAAATGAACTGTCCGTCCGGCGACCATTCGCAGACACTGGCATTCGACGCTTCAACGGTCACCACCTTGTTGTAGTTCTTGTCCAAGTCGTAAATGTCCATCTGTCCGGCCAAGTTACCGAACCCAGCCACCAATACGAAACGTCCATGGGGAGAGAACAGGATGGTGTTGCGAGGTGCCAGAGGGAAACTGTGCTTGGCCACACCCCGGAAGTTGAAGATGGTGGTTTTCGCTGGCATGTATCCATACACAACACCAAATTCCTTGGAGTTGGGATTCCAGGACACATCGTGAATCGGACCCTCCTTGTCTGTACGGTAGAGTCAGCAATGGTACGATGGGGAAAGACACACCGGAAGGACTTACCAAGGTCCACGCGCGAATCAAAGCCACCATTGGCACTAAGCAGGTACAGAGTTGTTTCTCCGTAGTAACTCTTGCCGCTGCGATCGACCTCGGTCTGCGCAAGCACCAGCAGAGTCGTTCCATTGCTGTTCCACTTGAGCTGGACTTTGTCACCCTTGAAGAAACTCTTCTGGGAGACTGGCGCTCCAAACTGAGGCACGTTGAACACCTTGACCGCTGCTGGTTGACCCTGGACGAAAAGAAGAAACAAGTAAGCCGGCTGCAAAATCATTGCGAATGACC